ATCATAAAGAACAGAAGTAACGAAGAGAACACTGCGATGGGATGCGAGGAAGCCCCAAACAAACAGCGAACGGAGGATGAAAACGAAGAGCCGGTTCCTTCTCCCTTTTATTTCGGACAAAATCATTTAGCATACATGACACCAGTGAGACTAATAATGCTTCCAAAGATCAGAAAGAAGTTTTCAAAAAAATTATTAGTCTTCAGCACAGGAAATGAATCAGGACTTTTTTGTGGGTTGTTTTTCACGGCTTTGAATAAAGAAAAGAAAAAAAAATAATAATAAAATAAAAGTATTTATATGAATATACAATAAAAAATAATCTTTCATGAGTCACTGACAAAGCCAGATAAAAACTATAAATAATAACTAACATATAAATTTATGGAATAAAAGTAAAAACTGGTTTAAATTTCAAGTGCGATGAACATGCCATATACAGTTCCTATTTATACAGCAATATATGTATTAAATAAAATCTGGAAGCCTCTTTTTAATTTCCCTATATAAACACCATACAAATGATAGTCTGTATAAACAACTGGATACTGTATATTTTTTTTTTTTCCTTCTTTTTTCACTATTTGTTACAGTCATATACAAGAGTAAAAACATGGAGAGATAAAAGCTTGTAGCATTGGCCACACAGTCTTTCAAAAGCTTTGCCTGTGAACACAACAGCTGGAGTATTAGTTTGTAAACGGTTTGGAAATGAACATAGACTCTGCACGATTCTGCACAGGTTGCAATGATGAAAGAGATATCCAGAATCATCACTTTTTTTCATGACTATCTGACTCATTATCCTTAGAAAATATATTCATTCTATTGTTTTCGTTTCTTTTTTTTCTTTCTTTCTTTCAACAGAACAGACTGCAAAAAAAAAAGGCAGGGAGGGGAAAAAAAAGCCAAAGTTAAGGTCAAGATAAAATTCGTTAACATTTCACTAGTCTGACCTTGTAAACCGAGAGCAGGATTCTCAACAAAAACAAAACTCTGGCATTATCTAAAATTTGCCAAACGATATTGCTCGTCCATTTCAATTTCCCATCTCCTATATCACCGGAGATTTTCCCCAAAGAAGAGGAGAAAAAAAAAGAATAGCCCAAACTTTACAATGCTTCACAGAAAAATAAAAATAGTAATTTCAAAAATTTCACTTCCTTGTGTAAAATATGCACACACAGAGACTTTGTGTACATGCACACAGTACATGGGTGACTTCATGTGTAAGTAAATACACAGACATGAAAGAAAGAGCCTGAAAGAAATGACAAAGAAAAAGAGAAAGAGGAGAGACAAAAAAAGAGAAAGCAAAAAAAAGGAAGAGAGAAAAAGAAAAAGGGAGAGAGAAAGAGAAAAATGGAGAGAGAATCAGAAAAAAAAAAAAAAATGAATGAAAGCAAGCAAGAAAGAGTAACAGAGTAAGCATCAGCATGAGAGAGACAGAGGAAGTGAGCAGGCAAATATATGTTAACCAAGACATGGGACTCGCCCTCACACAAAGCAAACACATATAAGCGTTAAAAAGCATCACAGGATTCTGAATACACACGAACCTAGAAAGTAGTCACATTTTATTGAACAAGGTGGAGCTGTACAAAAAGACCTTGTGTTTTATATATACGAGGATCGGAGGAATTTGGTGGGGAAACAAAAATGACGTGTCTGCAACTTTGCACAAGAAGTAATGTCATAGCGAGGTGAATCCTTTTCGGAAACTCAAAATCTTAAATCACAGATATTTCCAACTCAATAAATGAAAAGAGCCCATCCTACTGAAACAGAAAGACACGAGACCGAAAAAGAATAAAAGAAAAAGAGCCAGAGACATCATCTGCAATTCAAAACAATTATCTCATCAGTGTAAAACTTGGAACTACCCTCCCCTGCTCCCCCCCTCCCTTAAAATGGCCTATAAAAAAAAAGGATAAAAATATACATATACACTGGGTAACCAAAAACCAAAAATAAATCCACAGCCATATTTGAATAATTCATGCCTTTAAGATAAAGCCTTAACAACTTGTAAGCAATTGATTACTGCACTAGGTATAAATATTTCATCTGTATGGTATAGAGGGTATCAGAAATATTCCCTTCTTCTAAAATATATCCGTTCTTTATCACGACCATTAGTTATTTTCCTTTCGAGAGTTATACCCATAAAACATGCAGTCCATATAATACTTATCACTGAAATACTTATGACAACTCCGGAGCATATTCCTTGGCTTGGAGAAATCATCAGTAAAAAACAGTCAACCGCCAATAAAACAGCCAAGTTTTTAACACAAATACAAGACAGCATTTTGCACTTCTGTCTGGGTGTACGACGACCACTTGCGTCTTCCTTCCGCCTGTGAATTTTAGCTCAATCGTGGGTTTGAGCGCCTCTCCCCGCCTCATCTCATTCCTGGCATGAACATTGGTCTTGCACGATCTCAAGAAGCACAACTGAGTCACACTGACAATGCACACTGGTTATAGCGAGCGACTTTTAGCATAGTATATAGTTTTGGGTGTTCTGTAGCAGTCTGTTTCTTTTTACTTTTTTTCATTTTCATTTTTTTTCTGACATTTCTTTTTATATAATTTACACATCCTAGTTCTTACAAAATCATTAAAATAGAAAAGAAAATAAGCATCAAATATAAAAAAAAAAAAAAAAAAAAAAAAAAAAAAAAAGAAAAAAAAAAAAAAAAAAAAAAGAGAAAATAAAAATTCGAAATTTCATAAATATCTGATTATCGTGGCTAAAAAACAAGGCTAGTCACAGCCCCTTATAAAATCTGGAACTCTTTTTTCAGTTCTGCCATAAGTTTCCAGTCTGTTTTACTAAGATCATCCCTAAAGTAGTCCTTGCACGCATTAATCGACTCGCGCGAGATCTTGCTGACCAGCATGTCCTCGTGGTCGAAGTGGCGCCCAAACAGCTTGGGGGTGTGGCCAGGAAGAGGCTCGATCTTGATGCACACGTCCACGCCCTTCTTGGCCAGGTCTACGTTCTTGTGGTCGTACTCCATTGAAGTCACCATTCCTATCTCCACAAACTGGCAGGGAAGAGGAAAGTGGTTTTATTAAAAGAATCCTGGAATGCAAATCTGCTTTTCTATTCCTTCCAGTAACTTAAAAAAAAAAAAAAAATTCTGAAGAAGACAATTCTCAGTTTCACAGTTTTATGGTAAGACTAATAAAGACATTATCTTTTGGTAAAATCAATCTGAAGAGAAAGAATATCTCAAAATATGTGAATTAAGAAGAGGAAGACCTTTCTCTAGAATTCAACTTTTTATATAACCAATATGTTTATGAAATTGATAAATCAACAAACACAAAAATTTTGCTTATCATAAACAAGCCAATGTCATTAATGTTCTCAACGAGTAGCCAACAAAGACCGAAGTATCCTACCTCTTTACTTGGCACACACAAGGGCGTCCCCGTTCTTAAAACTCCAGCCTCTACTGTTACACCGAGCACTATGGGGTCACGCTTGTTAAATATAGCCTGTGGAAGAATCATTAGTTATAATCGGGAAAATTTAAAATGAACATGCTTCAGTTGAATCTAAAAACTCCCTCGAAGCTAATGAAATTAAAAATATAAATCAAATCTAATTATATCTACTGAAAAGACTACAATAATTGTCCTTTCCTGATGTTCCAGATACTTAAATCTACACACACATAAAATCGATATTCAACTATGTGTCACATAAATACTGCACAGTGCAATAACAAATTTGAAACAGGTACTGCTAAAATGTGAAAATAAAGGCTCTGCATCAATCAATTGCACTTACATGTGGCTGAATGAAAAATATGAGTACTTGCTCTAGGAGGCCGAAAAACAGCCCGAGCTTACATACAGTTGTCAGATATAATACTCTACATATAAAAGAGGGTGATGGACCACTGTTGATCACACTCCTCTTAGCAGTGTGATCATGGCGAGGCAAATCAAAGGAATTCATTAAGAGTCATGATTCACCACTTCAATTTAGCACTGATATCTATGGAACTCTTTACAACACCTAAAAAGATTATAAAAATTTTCTTGATGGTTTAGCAGGTCAGAAAATAAATGCTGAAGTTTCCAAAATCTGGCCCTTAATATAGAGTTTACGAATCCATGTTCTTGTTTAACAAAAAAAAAAGAAGAAAGAAACAAGAGACGTAAGGCATCTCTCTGAAACCAACTCACCGTAGGAATAATCTTTAGACGCGAGGGGAAGACAGCCACATGCTTAAACTCATCCTGCTTCTTCTTCTTGTAGTCCTTGAGGTATTCAACGTAACGATCACCCAAGTGGTATATAGTCTCCTCAAAGAAGATCTTCACTCCTTCCTGGAAGCCAGAGGAAGAAGAGAGCAATGAAGCAATGTAAGTGACATACACTGTTAACTAATAACTAATAAATACATAGTTATACAACAAATATCAAGGAAACTAAATATGCTAACTCGCTATTTGTTTCCAAACTAAATATATTTATCAGAAAAAAGTAAAGTGGTTATCAACATCACAGTGACTTTGAAATTAAACAAGTATCAAAAAAAAAATAGGAGGGTGTCTGGTAGAATGTAAACAGGTACACAACAGATAGATAAACAAATAAACAAAAACATTGTCTGCTTCCCCCACCTTGTCAGCCAGCTCCTGGGCGTCCTTCTCCACTTTGACGTCGAAGGCCAGGATGACGGCGTACATGGGGTCGTGCTCCAGCATGGCAGCTGCTCGCATCACATCCCTCTTCACCACAGGACCCACGCGGATCCCCGAATAAGGCACATTGTTGGTCTTGAAGAACTCTAGCAGAGCCTCCAAGGCACCCAGGGTCGAAGCCTGGACGTACACTCCACGCTCCTTCACCTGCGACGTTCATGATTGGGGATGGAATTGGTAGAGTAAATGGGATACAGACATTAAACTTACTACTAATAATAATAATTATAACCACTGTAATAGTTATTGTTATGGTAATGGTAATAGTAATAGTAACACTAATATTCTCAAAAATAATAAGAATAAAATTAGTAATAGTAGTAGTAGTAGTAATAATAATGATGATAATAATAATAATAATAATAATAATAATAAACAGTTTGTGTAGTCTTTTAACCAGTGGGAGTAAAAAGAGAGAGATTAAAAGAATTTGAAAAAAATAAATATTGAGATAGGGAAAAATAAATAAATAAAAAATCGTAAAAGTATGTGCAATTGTAAAGGGGAATCATTGCTATAAAATAAATCAAATGTAGCACTGCACTACAGCATTACACAGACCTCTCATTATAATGCTTATTAATTTATAGTCTGATTGATATCTCCACTCAGAGGAGGAGGAGGAGGAGGAGGAGGAGGTGTAGGACAAGAGAATGGAGGAGACAATAAAGAATGCTAGGACAATAGAAGGGGAAGAGGATTCTACGAGAGAAAGAAAGAAAACCAAGGGAGTAAACAATCTTTGCTCTTCTACTACACTCACCTTAATAGACCTCATAGCTGCCTTGAACTCCTTGTCGACCTCTTCCTTCAACAGGTCGACCTCGTCCTCGTGGTAGGACACCTGCAGGTTAAGGCCAGCGATGGCTTTCTCAAGCTCCCTGGCAGCAATTTTGACTCCCTGAGCAGCTTTCACCTCCTTGAATTCGTCGTACTGCCCTTTGACGCGGATCTCCTTGAGGGGTTTGGGAAGGAGGAGAGATCTGTGGGGGGGGAGGAGGTTTGTGTCGTATAGATCTATGAAGTTGTGTAAATAATAAAAAAAAAGGCTTCTTAACAACCTATTGATTCAATTTGGAAAAGGAAAAACTCTTCCAGGAAAAGGAAGTCAAAAACGTCAAATAACAAGACTCCTGTAACAATATCAACAATAAAAGGATAAAAAGGTTCTTTTTCCTCACTCTCTTACCGTATCTGCGTGACAATAGGACCTTCAGTACCCGCTAAGATAATTGTGTCTCCTTCTCTAAGTCTACCATTGATTAAGATGACATCTATGGTCGTCCCGTGACCCTGAATCGTCTTGACTTCCAGGACAGTACACTGCAAGCAGAAGGAGGGCGTGCAATGAAATGAATGGCATGAATGCGTTTGCTCTGTTAGGCTGTGCTGTGTGGATCTTTTCATTTCAAAAGGTTTTGTGTGTGACAACCTGTTACAAAACATGGCTGGGATGAAATCCACCGACCTGGTACATTGAACATCAATGCAAGATTGCACTGGATTTCTTTCATTAAATAAATATGGAGCAAATGAGAAAAAGAGAAGAAAGCCCTACAAATAGAGGTCACATCATCTGCAGTATGACTGACCCACCTGCAACTCCTCCGTGAACATCAGTCTCTTACTGAGTCGCTTCTGACACAGGTTGCACACCATGGCGATGAGGTTGCCCATTCCGTCGCCTGAGATGGCACTGGTTGGGACGAGGGACACATATGAGCGGGGGTCAGGATTCTCCCAGAAGAGAGCTGCATTTAAGCCCTGTAAAAAGAGAAGACAAGAATAGAAATTACAATAATCACAAAAATGGCAGTAATGATAATAATAATTATAAAAGTTATAATGATGTAAGAAATAATATTCAGGATAGTAATGACTTTACCAACAGAATGAAATTACTAATATATATTCATTTCAGTCTTGTATAGTTCTATAAGCCGAGGCTTTTTACATAAAAAAAATCAATCACTCCTCTTGCATAAGCTGCAGCAATACATAACATTCAAAGTGTATCTTTATATTTAATGTGGTAATAAGAGATGTGCTACTCTGTCTGCAACAAAAAACAAAATTCTTCAGAACTCACCTGAATGTTGAGTGCCTGAATAATCTCCTGGGTTCTGCGGTCAAAATCGTTCTTGGAGGCATTGCTCTGGGACTTTATGATTTCGCGGATGTCTTTTGATGGATGGGAGTCCCACTCAAACACTCTGAAATGGGGACGGAGAGAGAAAACACCATCAGACCAGGAGATCATTAAGGGAATACGACCAGTGCACATACAAGCCCTTCTGCTACAGCTAAATCTCTCTTTTCTCACATGCTTTCCCTTCTCCCCAGCATCACTTTCCCTCCCCTTCCATTACTGCCACACACTACTGACATGAACCAATCTGTCTTCCGATAACCTAGTGCTGAGATCTGTGGGAGGTTTGTCTAACAGATCTATGAAATGTGGACAAGCGATGCCAACACAAAGGACACTAGGGGATGCAAAGGAAGGGGAAACAAAGCAAAAACCCCAACCAAGGCCAGCCAATTGCACCCTCACCTGTCCACCTTGTTAAGCGCAACAACGAAGGGGGTCTTTTTCTTCTTGAGCAAGTTGATGGACTCTATCGTCTGTGGCTCGAGGCCCTGCGTGATGTCCACCACCAGGACCGCAATGTCGCAGAGGGAGGAGCCTCGTGAGCGGAGGTTGCTGAACGACTCGTGACCTGGGGTGTCAATGATCAACAAGCCGGGGAACTTGATCGTATCCAAATTGAA